GTAACCTTGACCTTTGACCTGTTGGCCCCAAAATTATTAGGCCTATTAAGGACTATCCAGAACAATCCACAAACGAAATGTCAAGTTCCTAAGTAAAGTATTTATCAAGTTATCGTGCTGAACAAGTAGGCCATGGATCAGCCTTGGTCAAAAATTTTGGCAACCGGTATCAAATGAGGGTAATAATCGTCATAGCAATTTTTGGCAAGGTATACACCTCCATAGTTGGCAAGGTATACACCTCCATAGTTGGAAAATATGTGACAGCATTGCAGCAGTGCAGCTTTTAATTATTTACCCTTTTTCTCAAAATGTCCATCAAAATGCTTGTTACCACTCTAGGGGCGGTATGCCTTGCGCATGCCAACTATAATCAATTATGCCCTGATTTGATACCGACCAAACCCCCATGCTGATGGCCGAAAGGGTTAACGGGGTGTAAATTGAGGATTTTCTTTTGTTCCTCTTCCCTTTTCCTTTGTTTGTACAAGAACAGTTAAATAAGTCATGAAACTATGTTCACTACATACATGTGCTAAAACAGTATACCACCCTCCCCCTGCCCCCCCCCCCCCCCAATACATTAACACTTGATTTAAGATATCTACTTCATCGCATCAAATAAGATTATATTTACCTGGTAAATATGAGGGTAATAATCGTCATAGCAATTTTTGGCAAGGTATACACCTCCATAGTTGGCAAGGTATACACCTCCATAGTTGGAAAATATGTGACAGCATTGCAGCAGTGCAGCTTTTAATTATTTACCCTTTTTCTCAAAATGTCCATCAAAATGCTTGTTACCACTCTAGGGGCGGTATGCCTTGCGCATGCCACTATAATCAATTATGCCCTGATTTGATACCGACCAACCCCAATGCTGATGGCCGAAAGGGTTAACGGGGTGTAAATTGAGGATTTTCTTTTGTTCCTCTTCCCTTTTCCTTTGTTTGTACTTTAACTTTTTTGCAACAGCTCTCATTGGTTTGTACACATTTTCCAACCAAGGAGTCCTCGATTCGGTTTCTGTCCTCGATTCATTGATAATGTTGCGTGTGTCCTTGACTTACACCATATACAAAATAATGCAGTGAAACAGACCAGCAGCCGATTTCACAAAATCTTACGAATTGGCGCAACTCTGCTTGAGCCAAAATTTATTGTGTAAGTTGCGCAACATGACCCATTTCACAAAAGTCACATAGTGCGTAAGTCCACAAGTTGCGCAATAAATTATGATGTTACTTGCACCATCATTTTAGACGGCATAAGTTGTGTCGTAACGACTGAAAATGACATATTTTACCAGCATATCAGGAGTGTCACAGAGCTTGTTATTGCACAACTTATCAAGGTTGATACAAGACGGACAAAATAATTTTCAAAATGGCGGGCTGAGGTGATCCAACGACTGTTTTGCGAACGAAAAAATTCACACACAAACAGCCGTGGTAAATGCTGCTTTTATCCTCGTCCAAGATGCTTAAATTATTTAAAGCATTGTGAAGCTGCGCCAAGCTTTGTGAAATCGATCGTAACTTTATTGCGCAGCTGGGCAACAAATTTGTTGCCTAAGTCTTACTCATGGCACAAGCTGCGCACTTTTTCATGAAATCGACTGCTGCCCACTGTCATGGCACAACCAACAAAGGGTCTATAGTTAAACCAAAATTCAAGATTATATGAAATGCTGTAAAACAAACATTTTTGGGATAAGAAACATTCAATTTACATACCTACATTTGTAATTACCTACATTTGTAATTACCTACATTGGTAATTATGGCAGAGTTTTTGCTTACCGTCACCGAGTCCGATCTCATGAACGCCCGTTGCTTTGACATCGCCCTCACTCAACAGCCTCTCAGCCTCCATATCAGACTTGGCTGCGGACTCGGCTAGATTCACTTCTGCAATGTAGCCTAGTGCAGGGGTGAGATTGTTGGAAAATGAAAAAATCCACAAAAATTATCAGCAAATAAATGCACTGTGGATCTGCAAACATTTCAACTCATTTGAATACGTGTCCTGAATGACTTCACATTAGCTTCAGTTCGCATTCACATTCACATGTGTGATGCGATCAAACTAAATGAGTCGTTAATTGTCGGCAATTATGATCTTAAGATACAGCCCAAAATAGTTCAGTCAGGGTGAAAATTTCAAAATTGACTTTTTTGTAAAATAAGAAGGCTACATATGTCCTCTTTCATGTCAATTTTTTTTCCGGAGAAAATATCACGATAAAGTATTCAAACGTGACATTTTTGCTAAGGAGTAACAAATTTATGTCAATAACTTGAAATAAAGCATGTTTATTGTTGTGTAATAAACACTTCAATTTTGAATCGTTGATTTCTCCGTTTGAGTCTCTGTTTTCTTGTTTCAAATCTGCCTGTGTTCCAAGTCCCATAACTTCTGAATGGAAGGTCCTATTCACATGGGGTTTTCACCAAATATAAACTGAGATACAGCTCTATTCAATAATGTAAAAAAAAACCACAACATTTGATAAGGGCCGACAAATGACTCATTTAGTTGCATCACATGTTTTTGCATTTGGCCTGAAGACTGCTGACCCACCTGCGACTTTACTTTCGTACTTCTCGTCAATCTTGGTGATTTCTTTGTAAGTCGTAACAGCCACCTCGTAATCCTTCAGTCCCTGTTGGGCCTTGCCAAGGTGCACCAATGCCTTGACGTTGTTTGGTTCCAACTGCAAGGCAGTCCGGCAGTCCTCCATTGCCTCTGTAAACTTTCCCAATTTGTTGTAAGCCTTGGGGGAAATAAGTGAAAAGATGGGATTCAAATTTGCCACACAGTGAACAACGAAGTGATGCGTGTCTCAATAGGATAACATGTGTGACGCCTTGAATTAATCGTCTGCCTTATGTGCAGTACTACAAAAACAAACATGCAGGATGAGTTGGCCCCCCTCCCAAAATGATATGTTTTCCTTTCTTTTTTTCCCCTTTATATGAAAAATTTTCAGGAAATAAATTAAAACGTTGCGTATCTCTCTCACAAGCCATCAGCAACGTTCATGATGTTGCGTATCTCTCACAAACCTTCACCTCCACTTGCCTCTCTCCACCCAGGAGTACACATGTAAATGCGTAAGGGTATTACTTGGGGAGCAACCTACAGTCATGACAATGGACTCATCCAGGGGGAATAGAAATATTCTCAGTCATTTCATGAATACGGAGATCTTGGCTCGTAACGGACTTGACTTGTTTACCTGTGCCCTGTTGGTGTACAGCACCACAAAGTCTTTTAGACGCTCCAGGCCCTGTGTGTAGAGCTCAACGGCTCGTGTGTAATTGCTCTTCTTGAACGCTTGGTTCCCCTGATCTTTCAGAGCCGTCGCCTCTGCTTTACGCTTCTCTGCGGGCTTGTTGGCGTCTGCTTCCAGGGCTTTCATGACATTATCTGAAAAAAAAGTTGATCACACGTTACATAAAAGGATAGAGTTTACTACAGTCATCCCGGTTAACCTTAGGGTAAAAAAAAAGTCTCCGGTTTCTGGTATGGAGCTTGCCCCAAAGTCGTGTGGCGACGCAGGTTTTTTTTTTTACCCCACTTTTTTTTTCAAATGTGGGCTGATATGTTGCAGATGACACTTCGATCCCCTTAAAACTCTCAAAAATATCCTTTAGAGTGGAGCTTGAGGTGACCTCAGTAAGGCCATAAGGCTTGGGAAGTCTGCACCCACTTACGATCTCGACTCGACCTGCCAGGCTGGTCATTAGTCTGCTCTCTTACATACTGCGATAATTGAAATGCATTTTCAGATTCCCCGAGATACACGACCATCGCTCCCTCACTCGGCTTCCAGATGCACAATAACAAAATTACAACACCGTGTGCAAATGGTGCCCAACTAAATTTAGTGCAAAATATATGCGTGCATCATCTGCACTGCTCCAGGATGTCACTGGCTCAGCCTCTACCAATTGACAGTGATTGCTGGAAGATTTGCAGGATTGAGGCATGGTCACCCCTCCAAGGACCACATTATAAAGAAATAATTGAGGATTTTGCAGGATTAAGGCTGTATGCGATTTTTACATGAAGGCAGTTGGAGGATTTTGCAGGACTGAGGTTGCATCTATACTATAATTCCAGGAATCTGTGTGTGTGTGTCTGTCTGTCTGTATTTCGATTATCTCCAGAACCGGGCATTGTATGAAGTTGAAAATCGGCGGGTGTCTTGAACGGGACACCAGAATGTGTAGTGCCAACTTTGAAGTTGTTTGGACGAGCGGTTCTCGAAAAAGCTGCAAAAGAGCAACATTTTCTGAGGCAAACGTGGCAAATTATAGCCTAGACCACCACGCACTGATGTTCTTTTCAATTGTTTACGTCATGTTTTAGGCTAAAGTGCACGTACTCAATATGACGTAAACAATGCAAAAAGGACGGGCACGCGCACGTGCATTGTAGGGCGATACCATATTGTCCAATGTGGGTGAATGGCACTGCATACCATGTTTCCGTATGTACACGTACGTGGTGGCTACACGGGCACATTAGGTGGTCGACTGAGCATCCTTACTGCAGGGCAATACCATTGTCCAGAAGGGGTAAATATCTGCGCTATTATTTTGCAGCTTTTTTGAAAACCACTAGCCTAAACAACTTCAAATTTGGCACAAACTTTGACGTGAGTGCATTCAACCTGTGAAAACATGCAACCAATACCAGCGGCAAAGAAATTTGCCCTTCCCGAACATGCACATTTTAGACGGGCGCTGCACTAGTCCTAGCAAAAACCCCTAGGGAGTTAGGATTAATACAAATACTGCAAATACAAATTCTGGTTATGGGCAATTGAATGTCATGTCAGTATTATACAGAGCTTTTAAAAGCTCAGTGAATAAACCTGACAATGTATTTATCGAATCTTTTACATGTACAGCCATTACCTGGTCATGGTCAAGGAGACTAAACAGACTAGGAGTTGTGGATCATTTTTCTAAATTGTTATTTAGGTATAATGGTTTATTGGTTTTGTCACTGATATGTACCTTTCATAATGGTGAAATTGCCGTTAAAGCAAACCAAAAACCTTTGTCCCGACTGTGCATTTACATGTCTGTGTACAGTAAATACAGTGAATACTCCACTTTAGTAATTACACTTTCTGTCATAACTAATATTTTGGCCAAGTATTAACGATCAGTACACTGTACAACAGCACACACAGTAGTCTTGGCCCACGACGCTATTGATCGATAGTGGAGGATGCATATATATACCCTCCAATGTCACAACAATTAGACCGGCAGGCCTATATACATGTACTTGCACTAATTCTTAGCCATTTTGTTTCAGTGGTTTTAACTTTTTCTTTAGTGTTTTTCCCAGGCTTTCCTAAGGAATCAATCAGCGACTGAGAAAAGGTTATATGGCTCGCCCAATGGTTGTAAACGTACGCCCTGGCCTATGTGCGGTGATCGAGCACCATCACTTTATAGGGAACCAATTAGCGATTGAAAAAAATGTTTCATGGCTCACCTGACGGTTGTGGACATTCGCGCTATACGTGCGGTGATCAAGCATGGAGCTATAAAAATGACTATGATTGTTCAAATTTATACAGACAGTCTTATTTACATAAAATGGCCACGCCCCATTGCTACGAAATGACCAAGATATTGGTGAGAGAAAGTATAAAATCAATTATGCAAGTGCGCTACACAACAATGCAACTATCTCTCTTGATCACTGACATCTTGGGCCAAGACTATATACACAGGGGTTTGGCATTGGAACAATAGGCCTTTTCTCACTAGACCAAATCTCGGGGGTGGCCTGGGGCGACATGGAGGTTAAAATAAACCACGTTTCTCACTTGAAATTTTCATCCCTGCGCCACCCCCCAGCCACCCCCAAGATTGCTCATCCCGGGGGCGAGCTCACCCCTGCTTAGGACCAGAGTGGAAAAATCTTATCCCCAGGGCGAGACACTTTCCCCAGGGCAAAAACTTTAGTGTTAAACGAGAAGGGGTGAATTCGCCCCGGGGCGAGCATCAGAGGGTTGAAAAGACTGTAAAGTCTGATGTTATTGCAACAGTTCATCTGAAAATACGGTTAATTGCAAACAATGTGGGTTTTTGGGTGGCTTTTGAACCACAGCAAATCCAACCGTACCATTCAACAACCAATGACTCGATCAATCGTAATCATACTGGAAAAAAATAATTGTAAAAAATCCAATAAAAATGTTGGGAAGTTTACCGATATTTTGACATGAAAATACACACAGAGTTTTATGCCTTTCTTTCCTTATATTGAGTACTAATAAGTAAGAATAGTGAATTTTGCTCTGTGAAGAGGCATACAAATCAGAAGAATGCAAAATATGGCTAAATAGGTCAGCGAATAGAGCACTTGAACGGTGATTCAGAGGTTGTCTGATCAAATCTCACTCTAGTGAATTTCTATACTAATCTGCTTAAAAACGCTAAGACAAAGAGATACGACTTTTCTCGTCACTGTTGCTTGGCAACAAGCTGTCAAAAAACAAATTCTGATTCTGATTGATTCCTCTGTCTCAGATCAAACTTAGAAATATGGTGACTCACGGGGATGGGTAGCAGGAATGTCTTGCACTGCTGGTGAAGATGCCTTTTCTAAAATTATGAAGAAGAAAAGTAAAACAGATTAGTCTCCAATCCAGCCACTGTCAACTTTGGAAACCAGTTACAGTCTTTATTTTTCAAAGAGGAGTCTAAGAATCATTGACACATGTGCACTATGATCATTGACTAAACCTGGTTGTAGAAAAAGCAGTTGATTGAAAGAACTGATGAAATTGAAACATAACAGCATGGCTGATCATCAAAATAAATATTACTAATTGTATTTCAAAAAAAACCAAAAAACTATATAGACCATTTGCAAGTTGCGCAATGACAGCAGGCAGGTTTTATTTAAATTTAGTTACAATACAAGCACAAAGTACCTAATCAAGTGTATCCATTGATCTCCATTAGTAAGACTGGATAGGACACGCGTACACTTGCACGCAGTGAAGATTAGGAAAACGTGGACAGAAACAGCTGGGTAGTACAGTGCGGGTTTAATGTTTGCAACCGCGCTTGCGTGACGTGCGCACGCTGCATGGTCTGTGTGTGACGAACGCATTCCAAACTTTCAAACCCTCACCGATGACTACGCATACGAGCACAAGATGGAGGGCGCTGTGTCCTATCCTGTCTTCTTAATGGAGACCAATGAGTGTATCACACAGAAACACACATTTACTTATTCCGTAGTTGTGGGGACTTACACTCGTCGCCACAAGGTATTTGTGGGGACCGAAAATGCTATGGGGACAGCAGAAAGTCCCCATAACTCGGTCCTAATATTTGCCTAACAATAAAAAACTTCGCATAACGCAGTGTATGCCTACCCAGACTTACCCACTGTCATGGCACACCATGCAAAGGGTGTCTTAGGCTTTTATACCTTACCTGAAACTTGGGGCTTCCCATCGTCCACATTTGATTCTGAAAATGAAATATTAAATGTACCTGCATTATAGTCTGGCCGCACTAAATAGTACACTGGGACATTGAGTAGGATTTTCCAACAGCAAAATTTTTAAAGTTTTTGCTTGCACATACCTTTGCTCTGTATGCTTGTTATTCCAAAAAGATCAAGATCAATATCAAAGAAGCTATGAAAGGTAAATCGCAAAGAAGTAACGCTTGTCAAGTAGACAGACACTTTTTTTCTTACCATAATTCAAGGCAAGATGAACAAATTAAGTAAATTCTATTCAAATTATTATTTAATACTGGCATCAATGTAATAATATTGAGTGATCATGCAAGCAAACTTTCCACATCGTTAAGCAATTATAGGGTGGAGGATGCCATAAACATAAATGTCTGTCACTGGGACAGAAGAAAACAGTTTCAATTTTGTTTAATCCATGAAGATCCTTTCTAACAAATGACAATAGTAATTAAAGGCTCTAAACTCCAGTCCATCTTTTGCTCAACTGTTCAATCGTCTGAAGAACTTGACATGAGGAAATACTGAAATCTTCTTTGACATAACGTTTGTTACACAGGCAGACTTTGATTATCATTGTTTTTTTTAATGGAAGTCCAAGAATCATTCCGTTACCAACTGACGCATGCACACTATGGTCATTGACTAAACCTGGTTGCAGAAAAATACTGGTAGCTGGTACAAAACTCTTGCTACCAATGGGGGCTACCTGAGCAGTATTGCGCTCGGAATGATACATGTACTTGTACATGTTCATACGATGCAGTGTTTGCTCCGATTCCAATTAAGTAAGCAAGTAAGATACCTCGGAATGGTATATACCGGTGCGATACGATGGTTGCTCCAGTTCAAAGTGAGGGAGATACTCGCTGATCATCAATTAAAATTAACATCACTGATCTTATTTGTCAAAAAATACTAAACACAATGTAAATGTATGTAAGGATCTATAACTTACCCAGAACTTGGGCGTGAATATGTATAAGGTTAAGTTTAGGCTTCATAATTTATGCAGAACTTGGGCGTGAATATGTATGAGGTATAGAAGAGGCTTTATAACTTACTCGGAACATTGGGGTGCTCATCATCCAAGTTTGTTTCTGAAAAGAAAATAATATTCAATGTACTGCATTTGCCTTTACAGTAAAAATAGCACTGCACTGTGAAAAGAGGCATACAATCAGAAGAACGCAAAATATGGCTTAATAGCTCAGTTAATAGAGCACTGGAATGGGGATTCAGAGGTTACCGTTCAAATCTCACTCTAATTCTTCACTTATCTGCTTAAAAACAAATCAAAGACAAAGAGATACACATTTTCTTGTCTGTGTTGCCTCGCAGCAAGCAGCCAACAAAAAAAAAGAAAATATTCTGATTCTGATTAATTCCTCTGTCTCAGATCAAAATATAAAATATGCTGACTCGCTGGGATGGGTAGAAGGAATGTCTTCAACTGCTGGTGAAGATGTCTCTTCTAAAATTATGAAGAAGAAAAAAGTAAAACAGATTAGTCTCCAATCCAGCCACTGTCCACTTTAAAAACCTGTTTACAATCTTTATTTTTCAAAGAGGAGTCTAAGAATCATTGACAAATGTGCACTATGATCATTGACTAAACCTGGTTGTAGAAAAAGTAGTTCATTGATAAACGAAAATAAACAAGCGTTAGATTTTTGATAGAAATGAAATATATCAGCATGGCTGATCATCAAAATATTTGTAAAAAAAAATATATAGACCGTTTGCAAGGTGCGCCATGACAGCGAGTAGGTTTTATTTAAATTTAGTTACAATACAAGCACAAAGTACCTAATCAAGTGTATCACCCAGAAACAAATACCTGCCCACTGTCATGGCGCACCATGCAAAGGGTCTCTTAGGCTCTATAACTTACCTGCAACTTGGGGCTTCCCATCGTCCACATTTGATTCTGAAAATGAAATATTAAATGTACCTGTAAAACGGTCTGTCCACACTAAATGTTACAACTTTGATCATTGAGCACGATTTCCAACAGCAAAATTTTTTTAATTTTTTTGCTTGCACATATCTTTGCTCTGTATGCTTGTTAAAGGGAAGATACAACATTTGCAAACATCAACAGATGAAATAGTCAAATTATCACAAAATACCTTACTGGATTGTTAGGGAATGACAGTCTAAAGCATCCTGTACAATCGTGGCTCCTGGTGTGCTGACATTTTCAAGAAAAACTCCATTTTTCCAACACAAACTGGCTTTTTTCAAAAACTGCCCCTAATTTTTCATATTTAGTTATTCCGCAATAGATTACACATCTGTGAAGGGGTACAAGCCAGCTAGACTGATTCTTTCACTTTACAATTCCCCCAGTCTATAAATCGCTCCATTTCATCTTCAGTGGGATCTGGGAGCCAGAGTACAAGAACATGATTGGTTTTCTTAGTTTTTCCAGCATCTACGATCCCATAACGTGAAACAAGTCATTTTTAACAATATTTGCTATAACATACTTATTCTCCAAATCCATTTATTACTGAATATTGCAGCAAAAGCAAAATGTTGTACATTCCTTTTAATCTAGAAAATTCACGATCAAGAAGCTATGAAAGGTACATGTACATCGTAAAGATGTAACGCTCGTCAAGTGGACAGACATTTTTGTTCCTAATAATTTCAAGGCAAGATGAACAAATTTAGTAAATTTTATTCAAATTATTATTTAATACCATCAATGTTAATATTGAGTGATCTTTTAAGCAAACTTTCCACACCCTTAAGAAATTATAGGGTGGAGGATGCCTGGTGAACATAATGTTTGTCACTGGACAGAAGGAAACAGTTTCAATGAGTTTCAAACAGTTTTTTTTAATCGATGAAGATACTTTCTCACAAATAAGAATAGTAATTAAAGGCCCTGTTAACCCAAATCCTTCTTTTGCTCAACTGTTCAATGGTCTGAAGAACTGACATGAGGAAATACTGAAATATTCTCTGACATAACGTTTGTTACCCAGACAGACTTTGATTATCATTGTTTTCCAAGAAGTCCAAGAATCATTCTGTTACCAACTGACGCATGCTGACTAAACCTGGTTGCAGAAAAGTAATGGTAGCTGCGGGCACGCAGGGCAAGGGTTTTGCTTTGTGAAATAGCAGGTAAAAAACTCTTGCTATCAATGGGGGCTACCTCAGCAGCATCGTGCTAGAAATGATACATGTACATGTATACAATGCGGTGTTTGCTCCGATTCCAGTGAGACACCTCGGAACAATGTGAGGGTTGCTCCGGTTCAAAGTGAGTGAGATACTCGCTGATCATCAATTATTCATTGATGATATTTGTCCAAAAAACTACACAGTGTAAATGTATATAAGGATCTACAACTTACCCAGAACTTGGGCGTGAATATGTATGAGGTATAGTATAGGCTTTATAACTTACCCAGAACCTATGTGTGAATATGTACATGTATGAGGTACGCTATTGTAAAGGCTTTATAACTTACCGGTACCTGGAACTTGGGGATGCTCATCATCCAAGTTTGTTTCTGAAAAGACATTTGTATAAAATGTAATTACATTTGTTTATACACTGTAAATAACACTGAAAAGAGGCATTTACAAATTAAGAGAGCACAAACATACATGTAATGGCTAAAAAGGTCAGTTAATAGAGCACTACCATTTTGAATTCAGGAAAAATTGACTGGCATTAGACAGACCAATCACAGGGCACTTTGATTGGTCACCTGGATTGGTGACCAATCAAAGTGCCCTGTGATAGGTCAGGTGACAAATTAACAACAAGGCGTGTGTGACAAGGATGTTTCCTGAATTGAAGGTGAAATTTCTCTTTTCTTCCCGAAGGTATGTGAACCTAACCACTACCATTTGTATTTTCAATTCCCACAGGGGAATCAGGCAGTTTGAGGACAGTTTTGGGGGTGAAATCTGAAGATTTTGATAGGGGGTACGAGTGAAAATGGTCAAAATAGGTTATTGGTATTGACATGTACTCTAAGATCCTAGGACCCTACTCGCCCGACAAGCTCCAAGTGTAAAAAAGGCGATTCGTAGAGTAAAGGCCTATTACTCGGACTACACAATACTCACCCATTATACTAATGAAAATAATTTTTAGTCTGGTCCTCAAGTACTCCACTGCGCACACTGCATTGATGTCTATCAGGTTCTTAACCGCATTGTTTATTAGACTTGTCACCAGTCCATCCATTATTGTAAATTAGGGCCTATAATGTGACCCGTTCTGTCAAAATCAGACTTTTCTGGGCATAAGGTCGAAAATGATATTTTTACATGTTGTTAACATGTTCTTTTTCCTTTTTAAAGGTGGTTTAATTTTTGAAGCCGGTCATTCCTGGGCAGAGTTATGCTATTTTGAAGTTCATTGTGTCGAAAAGTAGAAAACGGAGAAAATGGCCACGAACGTCACAAAACAGTTATTTCTTTAACTGATATACCTTATCAAAATCATCAAAAATAGTATATGTAGAGTTCAAATTAGGGTTTCAAACTTTTTTAATATATTTTAGACATGTGCAGGATTACAAATATGCAAAAATTTGAAAATCGATAAAAATCACCCCCACAGCGTTTTTTGGCCCTATCTCAATTTCAACCTCTGCCCAGAAGCGTCTGCTTTTGACAGAACAGGTCACATATTTCGCCAAAAGTTTTCGGGCAATATTACGAAAACAGAAAACACTGGAAATCCAGAATCCAGAATCCGCATACAATTCCGCAGACGTTAGATCAAAATTCCGGAAATCTGGAAAAATCCGGACAAATCACACCCCTGAATATATGGTGAACTATAAAGTGAGATACTTTGCGTTTATGCTCTACCTGGGAGTAAATTGGTTTGTGTGATGACATACAATAGCTGATGTTGTGAGGGAGTTGAGGTTTCAAGATTTTGTCTGAGCATTTATACATAGACCAGGTGTAAAGCAGATCTCAAATTGCACTACATGTATAGTGCTGATGATTGTCTATCTTCAACAAACCTCTTGGAGCGAATCTACTCTGAGGATTTCCCATTATTGGTCAGACTAGGACCATGTTCCAACACAAGCATACTACTTCCTGCAGATAGATAAAAACAAAACCAAAACCGACAATGAGTGACAACGATCAATGCAGAAAAGACGACAATATACATGTAGCAAAATGGATGCAAGGGCGGATCGGGGGGGGGCAACGGGGGCCTTCGTACAACATTATATTTTCCTCAAAAACAAAATTGGTCAAAGTGGTCAGAAATTGCCTCAGATTGCACCACAGAGCATTTAGAATCCAAAAACATTTGGGGCCTCGAACCCTACGCCGTTATTTTGTGATCCACTTTTTTGGGGACCAAAGTTGGGGGGGGGGGGCACAAAAAATGTGTTCTGGATCCGCCCTTGCATGGATGCTGTGCCCATGATACATGCAGCATTTGTCTGTGAGCAATCCGTTTATTTCACATTGGTATGTTTTAATATGAAGCCATTATGTCTCCGCCATTTTGTATCCATGAGGGTCAGTGCTGGAACTGCTGCACATCCATGACCTCTTGTTATACTCCATTTAATTATTGCACTTCCATACTAGGGTACCCACCGTATTCAAATTAAATGGTAGATTTGCAATATTGCCTAATACCTGTGCTATTTTTATTAGAAAGAAAACAGATCAAATGTAAACCAAGATACAATTTGCTGAAAAGCACCATGTGTATGGCTTAGGAGATGCCTGCCTTGGATAGGCAAGAATTGGCAAGCCTTGCAAACCTAGTCCGGATCAGTCAAAGTCTTAGTCACAAGTGACAGTCAGTCAGTCAGTCAGTTACTTGTAGTTATGATTGCAGCAGACAGGGCAGCAACGGAGATCAAGTCCGTTACTGTTTGGATACAATGACGGAATAGTTGATGCATGAAAAAGTGATTTGGTTTGTGGATTACCAAGAACAATCCACAAACCAAAGTTGAAGTTCATATGTTAAGTATTTCTCAAGTTATCGCGCTGACATGATTTATCCGGACACACACACACACAAACGCACCCACACCCACACCCTCTCAAATTTGTATCCTTGTGGAGACATTCCTTT